CCCCCAGCGCCTCCCGCCCCTTTCAGGGGAAAACGCACCAAACGGAACGAGGCGGGCACGAACGTGGAGGCGTTTATTGGCCGCAACAATCATGTGCCGTTTCTTGGCACGTAAATTAGGAATTCGACAGCTCTCGGTGATTGTGTTTCAGCATCAACTGGTGCAGGAGGAGTATCAGGGTTTAAACGGGAACAGACCCCACAGGAGAGAGGCCCCGGCCTCAGGCTCCTTTCCGCACGGCCCTGCCGCGAGGGCAGCAGGAAGGCGCCAGGGCCTCCCTCGGGCGCCAGGGTGTCCCTTGGGCAGACGCAGGGCGCTGCTCCGCGGCGGCGGCCGCACTCAGGCGGCGAGGCGGGCGGCGAGCTCCACGAGGGTGCGCGTGGGGCGGCCCGCCATGCCCTTGCGCAGGTAGGGCACCTCGTCCTTGTTGGCCATCACGCCGGCCATGTCCAGGTGCGCCCAGTGCGGGGCCCGCACGAACGCCCGGAGGAAGGCGGCGGCCGTGCAGGCGCCTCCGGCCCTGCGGGAGGCAGCACAGGGACGCGTGGGTGCCGGCGCCGCCGCAACGGGCCAGCACCAGGAGCTCTTACCGGCTGTACTTGCCCCCTTGCCGGCTGCACCTGCCCCTTAGCCCACTGTTCCTGCCCCCTTACCGGCTGTTCCTGCCCCCTTACCGGCTGTACTTGCCGATGTTGCTCAGGTCGGCCAGGGCGCAGTCCGTGACCTGTTTCGTGTAATGCTCAAACAGGGGCATCCTCCACACTCGGTCTCCCGTCACCATGCTGGCCTGGAAAGAACAGCCCTGGTTTCAGCAGAGCTCCCACCACTTTTGTTCTTACTTGCACTCAGAGGCACTGCCGCAGTCCTGCTTACTTCCATTGGGCTGCAATCAGCCTATCTAAAAAAGCTGCAGCTCAAGATAATATTAGGTATTTAGAAATATACACCAAGACAAAACACTACATCTTTTTGAATTCATTAGATTTTTCCTTCAGACCGCCACTGAAGAATGCTAGTTGTTGGCAATACTGTTTTTTCCTGCTAATCCCAAGTTGCACAGATCCTTCCTCCCTTCAGCAGCCACAGCTCAGCCCTCTGAACAGCTCCTCTGAATCTGCTATCGTCAGGCAAGACCCATTACTTCCAACAAGAACTACTTACTGTCAGTGAAACTGAGCTATGTGCATCTCAGCAAGCTCACAGAGGATGCATGTCCTCGAGAAAACACTGATTGCCTTCTGCTCTATGATACTAACACATAACAAAGGCTCAGGAATGAATCGTCATAATCTCTGTATTTTTCAACTAAATATAAAATATGAATATTCCCACAGGATTTGGTAACATACCTTTCAGTCTTGCACCCAATAAGGCTCTCAGGAAGGCACTAAGTTTTCAGCAACAGCAGCTCTTACTGACCCATGCCTGCTGAACGCTGCTGTGTCCTACCTCGTAGAGGTGAGTCCAAAGCCAGGCCGAGTTTGTGAACACGCCAGTCGCAGCAGAGCCCAGAGCGACGTCCATGGCACCTACGGAAAGGCACCCTCAAGGTTACACGAGGAAGGACAAAGGCCACGGGAGCTAAGCTGACCTGAGCTACTCCTCTGCATCCTAACCTGCCACAGTGTTTTTAATGTCTCAGTTATTAATACCTCGAAGTTCTGAAGTATCCCCAAATTAAAGGTTTTAGTACACCTGCATTTTTAAAGTTTTTTTAAAAAATGGTATTTTATGTGAATAAATATGTAGCAAGCATGGGCGCATAAACCGTGTCCTTATCATCATCATCTACTGAGCATTAGTAACAAAATCCAAGACTTCAGTCAGTGCCATAACCGTGTGGCAGCAGCTCATACACCCTCCTGCAAACTGTTCTGCTGGGGAACAAACCGTGCAGAAAAATCCAAGCCTCCTGAGATTTTGCTGGATTTTCCACTTGCTGCTCAGTTGGGCCAGGCCTAAGTCCATCTGCACCACTCAGGCTGCGCTCTGTTCCTCCTACCCTAATCCTGGGAACAAGCTGCAGCAGGACAGGTTCTTACAGCACGAACTGTGCTAGTCCTCGTGCTAAAGCACCTAAAAGCATCTCAGCCGCTTCTCAACTCAGGTGGGCCCATTTCTACAGAACAGTCAGCAGGCCAAAGAATGCCCAGGATAAAGTGGGAGAAGACCTGGTTACCTGTCAAGGTTGCAACATCCACAATAGCCCTTGGATTAAAATCGTGGGCGTAACAGAGAGCGTCAGCTAGCAACAGTCTTCCTTCTGCATCTGTATTATCAACCTGCAAGCACACAAATCAAAAAACAATTAAACACATTACTGGAAACACCCCAATAACTCATGTCTCACCCACCCTCTTAAATAGCTCTTAGCTTGAGACTACAGGCCCTAAGGTAATCAAAGGTTTCTCCAAATAGGAACTCATTTTGGAAACAGTTTATAACGCGTTTTGCAGGATTAACCACACAGCGTTGTCGGAGTCACTGTCACTTTCTTACAGATCTCTCCTTGGTGAGGGAAATATGCCCAGTGATTTCCCTCAACATCCACTGCCCCTGAAGTCAGCATCGGGAGGAAGAGCTTCAAGAACTGAAAGGTTCAGTAGGTCAAGGACAGCAGAATCGCACAAACCCAGAGAGAATGAGCCACATATTGCTGCAAATAATTAGCAGTCCTCAGCACAATGGCTTTGGCTACCACTTAACCCGCTGTTTTTTTACAGTATATTTCAGACTAAACAAGATATGCAGTTAGGGCACTGACTTGACAAACTACTTGTGAACGACCGACTCGGTTGTGGTTTCTGGCAGAGCAGCGGGCAAGGCAGAGACCCTGCCTGCGTCAGCAGGGAGCTAAAGCTCTTTCCTGGTACTCACGCCAGCAGGAGAGTGTCCTGAAAGGTCTGCAGGAAGCAATTATGGGAGTGCTCATTGCGACTGAGAGCACCTGAGTATGGAGTATGCATTTTAATCACCTCCCGTGCTGACAGGACTGAACCTTTTCTAGCATGGTCAGTAAGAAACCAACATTACAGCTTTTCCTGGTAATTTTTAACACATCTGGTCTCTTAAAAGTGTATTTATATTTGAAAAAAAAAAGTGATAACATTTTCTATTTAATAACATGCTGCTTACATTTAGGAGAAGGATACATTCACACCGAGTATCTTTTTAAGTGCTCTTTTCAAACACACACTCAGATTGCGGTCATGTTTTTGGTCAGTCAAGTTACTATTTGGTAAAAACACTCACAACCCAAGCTCCACATTCATACCTGTATTGTTTTCCCATTCTTGGCTCTGACTACGTCCCCAGGCTTGTTTGCCTTACCACTGGGCATATTTTCACAGAGGGGTGCCAAACCTCCGCGAGAAAAAACAAAATATCGTGTTACTACTAGTGTAGTACGAATGACATACAGAGACTTTTGCTGCACTGTTTTCTACTTAGGACTGGAATCATCCCATACTTTCAAGGGAGGAATCTCTGGAGGATGTGTAGGTTTCACTGCCCTCTACTGGTTGAAGCATAAAAGGCCTCCTGAAATAACAGTTTCCTTTAAGTTGGGGTTCTCAAATAACTTTAAACTTATCGTAGAACAGCCGGAGTATCCTCAGATACTCCGTTCCCATGGTTCTGCACCAACACTTTCAGCTCTTGCGCAGCAGCATTTATACAAGAACATAAAACCATTGCTCATACTCAAAAGTAATTTCAGCAAACTTATTTCTTTAATTTTTCCTGGGACTTTCACCTAAGGACAAGAGCTGATCTCTCCTGCTGCTCAGCTGGCGCAGGCACTTAGGGAAGTCGCTCAGCTAAGGCCTTTTCGTTTCTAAATCTTTTACAGATACCCACATTCCTCACTGTAACGAAGAGCCAGGACTCCTGCAAAACTTGTGGAAAATGAGAGTTTTTAAACAACTGTAAGGCTCCTGAAATCTAAGAATCGTGCCCTCAAACTTTGAATTCTCTCTTGCAATATTTTATTGAAGCAAAGCCAGTAACTGTTGATAATAAAGTAAAAATAGAAAAGCTGAGCAAGGGAGTGAAACATAACTTTGCCAGAGTCCTTGTTTCTGCATGACAGTTACCACTGTTGATAGTAGGAAAAGCCTTTGTCTAACAGACAGACTGACAAACGCAGGCGTTTGGATTCTCACACACTTACCAACTATGTTAAGAGGTAGATTTAAGGCTGCTGCTGTCACTATGGCAGAACACACGGTCGCTGCCCCTCCCATATCTGCTCTCATTGCATCCATCCCTGACGAAGGCTTCAGGGAAATGCCCCCGCTGGAACAAGCACAGCAGGCATCATCCAACATCCACGAGTCTGGCATTACCTACCTTGACAACATGCACTCCATCCGTATGTTTTTAGCTCCATATGGCTGAAAACACTCTAGCATTTGTCGGTGCCCCTCCAACACCCTATTAAGCACCCCAGTTAAGATATGATCCCCAGTTACTTCCTCGTAATTAGGACACCACAAGACATCCACATCTACAGCACATTAACAAAATAAGCATGTTTTTCTTCAGAGGTCCTCACAGTATCAGAAGAGCACAGGAGGAGGACAAAGCAGTAGACTGCAGATCAGCACACAGGCAAGGAAAAGACTGATCTTCTCCCCAGTAGTTACTATGTGGGAGGCAAAGGAAATACAAGGAGCTACTGCAAAGAACAAACTATTTTCACTTGGCCTAAACATGATCTAGATGTCCAAAGACAAACTGCAATTCTAAACATGTAAATTCTTCACCATGATGTTTGTTCTGTCTGAAGAGGGGAAAATAACACACACCCAAAAGCCAGCTCTGTCTGTTTTCCATGGCTTTCCATATGCCAATTAAAAGCCAAGGGCAGAGCAATTCTACTTTGCCCACTCACTCATGCTTTTTTTAACCCCAGGGAAGGCAGCACAAGCTACTGTATAGTTCACTGGAATGACATTGAAAAATGTGCTGAACAAAGAGAAAGCATCTCCCTGCTGAACATGAGTAGCAGAAAAGCACGAGCATTTGTGTTTAATGGGATTCAAGTTAGGAGTGCACATCCCTCACTTGAGTTCCATCCCTGGGC